CTCGCTCCAGGGCGCCGGGGGGCCGGAGGCGGCTTCCAAAGGATCCCGCGGCTGCCGAACGTCGGCCAGGCACAGCTGCCCCTTGGCACAGCACAGCAGCAGCGTGTTGCAATCCAGGAACGCCAGGCCGCTGAGCTCCTCGCCGTTTCTGCAGGCTGGAAAAGAGAGGCAGGTCTCAGGTGCCACGAGGAGCGCTGGCAGGATTTCTCTGCTGCAATGGTGTCTGAGAGAGCAGATCTCCAGCCTTGCCCCTGGAAGCGGCTTCCAAGCAATGCCATATCTTCAAGAGGAGTGGGCACACCTCAAAAGTTGATGTTAACCCCCTGGCAGAAGGGACAGGCAGGCTCACGACTCGCATGGCTCCGCTCGCGGTGCCCACAGGGCTGGGCACTGAGCAGGGCTCCGACAGCACCACCCCTTGGCAGCGGGAGCCACGCGAGTCCCTGTGGCACGGGACTGAGCCCTGCAGGGACACACGGACTCGCGCTGGGCTACGGCTGCTGGACACGGGCGTTTTCCTCCCCAGGGGATGAGGTGTGCGGGGACGGAATCTTACGGCGTAGGTGGAGGCAGATGGTCACCAGGACCCCCAACAAACTGGATTAAGCCCCCCGAGGTGAGGGAGCCAGGGATGAGGCTGCCACGGTCCCTCGCCCACCCGCACGGACAGGTCACAGAGTAACACAGAGCTCGCTCGGAACTCGACGGCCCCGAGGGACGCGACTCCGGGGCCGGCACCTCCCTCGTTTGGGACAACATGGACAGCAGCAGGATTCTGGGCACTGAAACCATCCACGGTGCTCTTGTAGTGCCCAGACCTGGGGCAGAAGCCTGAGGAATCACTGCCATGGGAGTAAGGAGAAGCTGGAGATGGACCAGAGCCTCGTAACCTCTTTCCTCTAGACCATGTACTTTCTGCAAACCCTCTGACACACATTTGGAAGCACCCAGGCAGTGGAACGTTTGCCCCTTGAGCAGTTACCCTCCCCTTAGCCAAACCCCAACTTGCCAAAAATCATGGCATGTCTACCTGCCATGTAGACATTTTTCCTTGATTCAACTTCCGTAACTTGGACGCTGTCGAGTCTCGAGCCGTGAAGGACCCATGGGGCTCTGGCCGAAATGGTTGCAATTTTCGCCCAAGGTTGCCCAGTGCCATTTTCCGTAGGTATGGCACTTATGGGTTTAATAACATCTGTTTGAAAGAGATGCAAGCAGTTGTAAAACACATCAGGAGTCAGGAGATCCACAAGATTAAGCTGTTTCACCAAGACGCCTCGCAGAGCTAAAAGCAACCTACCAAACCAACCAGAAATCCCATGATGACCAACCTCCCCTCCAGAATCCCAACACATCCCACGAGGATTGACAACAAGCCATTTAAAACGCATGGAAAGTTGTGACTTGAGGTGTTTATTTTCAAGGAAGAAGAATCAGAAAGTGTCTAACAGCGTTTTGCACTTCCTGTCTGGTGGTTTCAACACGTTTCACAAGAGCAGGCACCAAACAACGGCCATCCTGTTCCGGAATTGGGCAGACGTGGGTTTGGAGACCTGAGGTGGTTCGTGGTATAACCTGAAAGGTGGCGTACGGAGCTCTTACTTCAAACCCTCGGAGTTACTCAGGGAATGCTGTGCCAACTACATGATGAAGGGTTTTGTTTCCATGACTAAGTGCTCACGAAGAAGTGGAAAGCCACCGGGACAGGTCTAAACCGACTCATTCCCCTACGAGGTTTGTGCCGTTGAGTCCCTTTCTTTCCAAGCCACCGGAATTGTCAGAGGCACTTGGCTCGTGCCCTTCTCCAGCTCCTGCCATGCAAGGGCAGCCACCCAGGACCTCCACGGAGGAGAGCACTGCTTCTCTCCTCATTTTACCCCCAGGAAGAAGGGGAAGCTGGAGATGCTTGATGCAACGACTACACTGAGAAACTACTCAAGCTCAGAAACTGCATTGAGAAACTACTCCAAGTTTCAGCCTGGAGAAGAGAAGGCTCCAGGGAGACCTTCCAGCACCTAAAGGGGCTACAGGAAAGCTGGAGAGGGGCTTTGGACAAGGGTGTGGAGTGACAGGACACGGGGCAATGGCTTTAAACTGAAAGAAGGGAGATTTCAATGGGATCTAAGGAAGAAATTCTTCCCCCTGAGGGTGGTGAGGCACTGGCACAGGTTGCCCAGAGAAGCTATGGATGCTCCATCCCTGCCAGTGTTCAAGGCCAGGTTGGATGAGGCTTTGGGCAACCTGGTGTAGTGGAAGGTGTCCCTGCCCATGGCAGGGGGGTGGAACTGGATGATCTTGAAGGTCCCTTCCAACCCAAACCGTTCCGTGATTCTATGAAACATGTTCCCTTACCTGAGTCCTCTGCTGACACCTGCCAGACCTGGAGGGAGCTGTCTGGTGGGCCACTCGTCACCAGCAAGCTGAGGAAACAAAAAGAACCCCACAAAACCCTTCAGGAGCAGAAAACAAACTTTTTTTTCCCCCCAGCCTGGGACAAACTGGTTATGATGAGCACGGCTGTGCTCTGTCACTCCTCCTGCACTCCTGCTTGGAGCAGAGATGGGGCCATAAGGACCATAATCCCAGAACTCCTGATGCCAGGGTGCTTTACACAGCCCAGGCAAACACATTCCTGAATGCAGAAGGAAGGGATGGCAAAGGCAGAGCAAGGAAGCTACACAGGTCCCTGCTACTCAGAAGTGGGGTAGGGAGGGATCCCTGGTGAGCCAGCATCAACGGCGG